ATGCTGTCCCTCGCCTTCTTTCTGAGATTCCACACTCTGTCCCATGTTTCCGTGTCTCTGGATCCACTCCATTCATCAGTTTATTTTGTTACGTAGATTCCACCTATGAGTGCGATCATGTGATACTTGTCTTTCTCTGACTGACTTATTTCACTTAGCATGACATTCTCCAGGTCCCTCCAGGTTGTCTCAACGGGTAAGAGAGCCTTCTTTAAAAAAGATGTTTTTTAAAAGTACATATGGGAAACACCCAGCTAAAGTCCTGGTATGCTGTGAGAGTTTGATGCACGCTGGCTCCATCCCCCAAATGGTGTTAGTGGTGTCACTCAGAGGCTGGGTATAATCTGTCCTGTCCTGGACACTGTATTGCAACATGTCAGCCTCACTCCACAGATTCCTTCTGTGGATCCCTTCCCATCATCTCGCTCCACTCCTGAATCTTCCCTGTCCATCCTGCCTGCCTGCTATGGGCAAAATCACTCACTAACACTTACAGAATTTCCTAAAACTCGGAGTCAAAACACTGCTCTATTTCCTCTGCCAAAAAGAACCACTGACAAGCTTCTCAATTTGACATTCTAAATGACAAATCAGTGAAAAAACTTTGTAAGGGGACAGAGAGCAAATATGTTAGGCTTTGCAAGCTGTGTGGTTTTCGTTGCAACAAGGCATCCCTGTTTGCAGTACAAACACAGCCATAGGCAATCTGAAAATAAATTAATGTGGCTGTGTCTCAACAAAATTTTATTTACAAAAGTAGGAACCCCCCCTCCGCTATAGTTTTCTGACCTCTGCTCTAAGTTATTCTTTTTTAAAAAATCCTCATCAAGCATATGTTTATTTGATTTTGAGAGAAAGGTGAAAGAGAAGCATCAATTGGTCGCCTCCTGTATATACCCTTATTGGGGATGGAACCCACAACCTAGGTATGTACCCTGACCAGGAATCAAACTTGTCACCTTTTAGTGTACAGGACAATGCTCCAACCAACTGAGCCACCCAGCCAGGGCTGTTCTGAGTTATTCTTAATCTCATGCAGTACACTTTTCCATCACCATAGCCTAAGTCATCAACCCCTCAAGCCATTCTCTAAAACCCTTGTTCTGGTGTGTTCTTCACTGTCTTTGAGCATCCACATCCCTCCTTCAAAATGGGCTCAAAATTATCCTTCAAAATGGGCTCAAAAATATGTGTCTGGGTTGAAAAGATGAAGTAAAAAGCATCCTCAACTGAAATAGTTAAGATAGTAGATTTTATGGTTGTTGTTTTTTAACCACAATGAAGAAAAGTAATATATTGTAGTTACCGAGGGCTTGAGATTGGGGGAGCGGGTGGGCAGTTAATGTTGAACAGGTACAGAACTTCCAACGTGATGTCTTCTTTAACTGCTTCGCTTCCACTGCCCTGTGGAAGATTCTGGAACTCCTTCTTCTGGGACCCCACGGACTCCATTCATCTCTCCACCAAGCTTTAATCCCAGGTACTAGAGACCACCTAAACTGTCTTAATGAAGGCAGTAGAGGACAGTGGTTAAAATTTTAAAGTGAACAATCCAGTGGCATTTAGTACAGCCCTAGTCAATGTGGCTCAGTTGGTTGGAGCGTCATCCTGTACACCAAAAAGTTGCAGGTTCAGTTCCTGGCATGGCACATATCTAGGTTGCATTTTGATTGCCAGTCAGGGCAAGTATAGGAGGCAACTGGTCAATGTTTCTCTCTCACATCAATGTTTCTCTCTCTCTCTCTCTTTAAAATCAATAAGCATGTCGTCGAGTGAGGATTTTTTTAAAACTTAAGCCTCCACCTAAAGGTGGAAACAACCAAAATGTCCATCAATACATGAATGAATAAACAAAATGTGGACCATCCACACAATGGAATATTATTCAGCCATAACAAAGGGTGATACATGGATACATGCTTCAACATGGATGAACCTCAAAGACATGCTACAAAATCAATAAGCATGTCATCAAGTGAGGATTTTTTTTTTAATTTAAGCCTCCACCTAAAGGTGGAAACAACCAAAACACAAAACATCCAAAATAGATAAACCCATAGGGACAGAAAGTAGATTCAGGGTTGCCAGGGGCTTCTGGGACGATGCAATGGCGAGTGACTGTTGAATGGGGACGGGATTTTTGGCAGGTGATGGAAAATGTTTTGCGAGGAGGCCAAGGTCGTGGTTACACAACATTGTGCCACTGAATTGTTCACTTTAAAATGGTTCATTTTGTTATGCAATTTTCCCTCAATTAAAAACAAGCATTTAAGCTCTTAAAGTCATCCCACCAGGATTCAAACACCTGCTTCACCACCGAGCCTCTTGCTCCTTCCACCGGCTCATCTGTTAAATGGGGGCAAGAACAATCCTTAGCTCACGTGCTTGTTCTGAGGATTCCATGATTTAATTCACACAGGCATGGGCAGTGCCGGAGGCACGTTGAGCCTGCAGTAACGGTCAGCCATGGGCAGCTGGTCAAGTACACTCAGATAAACGCTGCCAAGGGGATCGTTTGACTCCCTAGATGACCTCTCGGTTTCCATATGTAAATAAGTGGTGAGAGGCTTTCTACTTGCAGACTGACCACATGGGTGTTCCTGTTACGGGAAAGGCTTCTGATGAGCAAGTTAGCAAATAAGTTATCAGGCCTATTTTAGGTCAGTAGTATTTACGGCCAGGGTTTTGTTTCACTTCCCCTCCCACATTGCCCATTCTCATGAGTCACCAAGCCCAGGATCTGTCCCCTCTTCTCCATCCCCTGACTGGGTCCTAACCTGATCCTTCTCTTCAGGACCATTGAAACAGCCTCATGCCTACCCCCCCCTACCCCCCAGCCTCTGGGCTTCATTTCACCCCATCCAGCCCATCACCAGCACCAGCAGCAAAGAGAGCTTTCTAATACTCAGCTCCAACTCTGCCCGTCTCCCAGATAAACATCCTTCCACACCTGCCGCGTTCGAGTCTCAACTCCAGTGGGAGTTGTTCAAGAATCTTCACAACCTCACAGTCATCTACCTTGCTCCTTTCTCTCAGCCACCAACCGTCACACACTTCAGCCACATCCTTGACACCACCTGAAGACCTCCTGCTCCTTCTTTTTGTAAAAAAAAAAATTATTTATTGTCTGACTGATGTGGCTCAGTGGCTGAGTATCCACCCATGAACCAAGAGGTCACTGGTCTGATTCCCAGTCAGGGCACGTGCCCGGGGTTTGGGGCACGATCACTGGGAGGGGGCGTGCAGGAGGCAGCCGATCAATGTTTCTCTCTCATTAATGTTTCTATCTCTCTATCCTTCTCCGCTCCTTTCTCTCTAAAGTCAATTTTTAAAAATTTATTTATGGATTTCTAGATGGAGAGAGAAAAACACATTGATTTGTTTTTCCACTTTAAAAAAAAATATTGATTTTTTTACAGAGAGGAATCAATGTTTCTCTCTCATTGATGTTTCTATCTCTCTATCCTTCTCCGTTCCTTTCTCTCCAAAGTCAATTTTTAAAAATTTATTTCTGGATTTCTAGAGAGAGAGAAAAAAAAAACACATTGATTTGTTTTTCCACTTTTTTAAAAAATATATTCTATTGATTTTTTACAGAGAGGAAGGGAGAGAGATAGAGAGAAACATCAATAAGAGAGAAACATCGATCAGCTGCCTCCTGCACACCCCCTACTGGGGATGTGCCCGCAACCAAGGTACATGTCCTTGACAGGAATTGAACCTGGGACCCTTCAGTCTGCAGGCCAATGCTCTAGCTACTGTGCCAAACCAGTTAGGACTGTTGTTCCACTTATTGACGCATTCATTGGTTGCTCCTTGTATGTGCCCTGACCAGGGCCTGTCCCCGGGGTATCAGGATGGTGCTCTAACCACCTGAGGTACCTGGCTAGGGATCCTGCCCCTTCTTGCCTCTCCATGCTTCATTCACATGGTTCCATCTCCCAGTCATAGTGTCCCCTTTCTCAATCTTTGCAGCATGTGCTTATCTTTTGAAATGCAGCTCAAATATCACCTCCTCAGGCAAACTGCATTCCCTGCCTTAACAACACTTCCACTCCTGGCCATTCCCACAGGTTGGATTAGGGCCATGGTTTTAGTCAACCTCAGTGCCATTGATATTTGGGCATTTGTAGCTGGGTGATTTTTTTGTTGTGTGGGGGGTGGGCTTCCCTGCGTATTGTAGGATGTTAAGGAGCATCCCTGGCCTCCACACATGAGATGCCAGGAGCTTCCCCTGCCCTGTTTTGACAATCAAAAGTATCTCCAAACATTGCCAAATGTCCGCGGGTGGCAAAAAGCCCCCAGTTTGAGAACCACTGGGTTAGAGCCTCCCTC